ATCTAGAATGCAAAGCTCGCTTGTTTCCAATCCCGAGAGTTGTCCATCCTCGCCTGAAACAGACGATTAGTGCCATGAGTTAGTGAAGCAAATTACAGAAACACTGCACAGTTATTCACAAGTCTAAACGTTTTCATAGCGGCCGAGAATATCTAGCTAGCTAGATGTAGCTAGCTCGGGGCCGGTGTTAGCCTATTCAGCCTAGCATGGCTAGCTTGATCTACTGAGCAAATAAAAGTACATCTGAGACCATTATTGTGCAGATTAAAACCCCAGTGCATGTAGTTGATTTTACCTTCGTCGTGGTCGTCATCGTTGGCCACTGAATCCGCCGTTTGTAGTCCTGCCTGAGTTTCTTTATTTTTAGCCGGCTGTGCACGATTCCCAGGTCGAGTGAAAGCTACTGAACTGGCTTCAGTAGCATTCCCTGGGTCACGTCCTCAGCGTAGATCTCCAGAAGCGCCGACACCTCCTCATCATTTCTTGATGCTTGCCATAACTGCTTTCAAAAACAAACCCAACGCTCCGTTGGTTCGTTGGGTTTGTGTAGCGAGGAAAAACAATGGCGTCTCCACACAACATTTTCACTGTTGTACGGGCGTGGTTTGCAATTCGCCCAGCCAATCAGCACTGGGGCACTTTTGGGGCACTTTTCACCCACAGAAAAGTACGCTCTCCCAGCGGGCTCTAAAAATGGGGGTAAAAGTACCCGAGATTAAGTACGATTTTTGGTGTGAACGCGACATAAGGGGTACTCACGGAACTAAACGCGAAAAGTACGGTGAAAAGTACTCCGGTGTGAACGCAGCTCATGAAGGTAAACCACAACCTTAAACACACAAGTTTATTTAAAGGATAAACCTCTTGTGATAAACTCGCTTGACATTGCAGAAAAAGGTGATTGGCAGCAGTGGTGTAAAGTAACAAAGTACATTTACTCAAGCACTGTACCCAACTACTTTACTTATTTCATTTAGATTACTTCTACTGTACACTACAATTCAGAGGTTAATCCTGTATTTTTAGTCCAATATATTTATGTAAAGCATATGCATTACTCGCTAGTCTGTAATGGTTCAATAAAGACTGTTGGCTATTTTACATATTTATCTGTAGATACCCCCACAGCTCTTTGCCTATTTAAAAAGAAGACATTAACCTTAATTATTCTTTAATGTTTAAATAAAGCCTAATTTGTTTGTCTGTTTTGCACATCCTCCTATTAATATCTTTGGACGTCCTGCACTAAACTGTTTTATTGTAGAGATCACTTACAGTATCTTCTTGATATCTTCTATTCTATATTTCTATCATTTACCTTCTACTTGCTCCCTAGTGTGTATCTACTCCTATGTTAATTTATTTTAATCAAATATAACATACTCAACAAAAACATGCAGAAGACATTAGCAATACATCCTACCTGCATAGCAATGACGCTAAAAAAGTCATTACATGCTTTAACCACAAGATGGTGCGGGTTAAAAAAACTGTCCAGTTTATAGTGTTAACAACATTCATTATACTGCTCAATCTTATTTTATAAAATGGCCTATTTTCCCTAAAGTAAACAAGACTCATTTTTAAATCCATACATAAATCTACCCGGTTTCTGAATTTCAAATTTTAAATTAGAAGTAGACCCATGTTCTTTTTCTAATTTACAAGTTGAATATCAACAACATGGAACATTATTTTTAACTTTTCTAACTTGAGGGATTGGTTGTTGCTTGAATGAACAGATATTCATGTCTTCAAAATATGTCACATTTAATTGTATTGATAATATTGAATCTTCAATATCTGATTTGGTTAATATAATAATTATTTTGGGTAAAATCATATACACTGCTGTTATTGGAACGGTAGCCAGCCATCCTTTTTTTGTTTTATTAATGAATTAAAATAGTTTTTTCTGTCTCTTAAAAAAATACAGTCCTGGAAAATTGCTAAAAAGATTCATAGTGATATTTCTAAATGTATATTATTTTAAGAAAGCTCCTTAATGCCTCTTTCATTCTTTTGTGTCATTTGTGTAACCCCCTGGCTCTTATTGGATGTGTTATTTATGTTTATTGTCTTTAATGTGAATTAACTCTTATTTTGAAATGAAAAATAACCGGTAAAGAAAAATACAGCTTCCTGTATTCGAATGAGCTGCTCTGACTGTCGGTCCTGACCATGGATATATAATAAGAACTGACGGACTCCAAAAGTCCGACATTATACAATCAAACAAATAAATAAACACAAGGATAATTGTGTCTTATTGTTGAGTAAATAACAGTGTGTGGTTTAGAAAAGAATACAAAATTAGAAGGAAAAAACGAGGAAACAATACAGATTACAGTATTCTGAGCCCCTACTCTCCCCCTAACTGACGGCAAAAAAAGTCTGACATTATACAATTAAAATAAAGAAGTAAAAACAATAAGTGTGGCTTGATATTGAGTTAGAAAAAGGTTGATAAACGCTGTGAGAATGGGTCGGCGGAGAGCATTTCTCCGTGATCTAAACTCATCTATTATCAACGTTCAGGGAGCTCTAACACATAAACACCATATCACAAGGTGCATTGCGGCTAAAACATCCAATCACCGAGCTTCAACCATAGCTGAGGATTATTGGTAATCAGTTCAGTGGGTGTATCGCAATGACGCTCGAAATGTCCCATATATAGGCCTACGTCTGTTTCCGGTATTGTTTATGACGGATGTATTTTGTTATACACACATTCCTTCACATTTTTATTTGAATTTACATTAAAGTATTTTGTGAGGCCTTCTAAATTTGTTTTAAATATAACTAGGGTTCTCGTTGAAGAGTTTGTAAATGAACATGAACCCAAGCTGTTGCCTGGCAACGCAATTCTGTTGATAGTTATGGCTGATAAGGCTTATTACTTATTGGCTTATTACTGTTTTGATATTTTAAAGCCCAAACAGATGGAAAAACCCCACAGCAACATAGAAAAGACGGTCATAACATGACCCGGCGCTCTAGTTAATAGACAAAATAATTTCATACATAATATTATTAAGGATTTTATTTTGAAATGTAGTTCCTGACGGACGGCAAAAAAGCCTGGCATTATATAATTAAACAAATAAATAAAAACAAGGATAATTGTGTGTTATTGTCAAGCTCTTCAGTATATTTGCAGTTTCCCCGCTTGAAAGGGATGGTACAGTCCATAGGAGGTTTTAACTGGGTTTCACTCGTACAATGACCACAACTTTGTTTTCTTTTTAGTTCTTCTTTACTTTAGTTTTTGTTGTTGCAGTACAGCATATGTAGTAGTAAGGTTGTAAGGTGAAAAACCTTAAATGAAAAATAAAACATAATTACTGTAAATACAATGCACATGAAATAATAAATGCAAAGATACATGCTTTACATATATTTTTTAACACTTGCGAATATTGTTTTTACTTTCTTAGTGTATTTTTATGAATTATGTTTTTAAACAGTTTTTAACTAATGCAGTCTCATTAAAAATGCAAATATAATAGACTGAATTTTTAGCTGCATACAAACCGTTTTTATCAATCTACATATCTCAATAAACAAATCACATTCGTTTTTAACTCAACAATCATGTTGCTTTAGCTTGAGGACATCAAACAAAGAAATGACACTGAACTAGAACGTACGTTAGAACGTACGCTAGAACGTACGTTCTAGTTCAGTGTCATTACTAACGTGCGCCACGAACGGCAAGTTGTATGACTCTTAAATAAACACACAGTTCGTCTCTCACCGGCCGCCTCTCCAGCTTTTTATGGCTGCACCAGTGCTGCTTCTTTGATGTTTCTTCTGCGCGACGTTGCTGCTGCTGGACGCACGCTTTTTAGTTTGTAATGCAGGATTATGGAGGATTGTGGAGGATTGTGGAGGATTGTGGAGGATTGTGGAGGATTGTGGAGGATTCTTCTCCTTCTGCCTTCTCTCCCTCTCCAGCTTTGATTACCGCCCTTCTTTCAGGTGCGGTGCTTTTAAAGGTGCAGCGACGCTGATTAGTAATTAGGGAATGATTTCAGACAGCTGCCACTCTGTCAATCAGCCCGACTTTTTAACCCTTTGATCTCCTGTGAGGATTTTCCAAGTTGGCTTCACAATTATTGTTGAGTAAATAACAGTGTGTTATTTAGAATTCAGTATTCTGAGCCCCATTTCTTTTGAAGAAAATGTTTTAATGAACCACACAGCTTCATTGTCTTCCAAGACCCAACCGGACAAAAAGACGTGGTGCAGGCACGAAACATACTACCAATAGAAATACATTGCTTTGAAAATCGTTCTGTGTGACACGAAAAAATGGGAATATCGTGTTGGTGAACACGAATCAATAGATTACATTTCGTGACTATAACACGAAATGCCATGAGACTGGGTTGAATATTTAAATGTGTCCATGTTAAGCAATGGAGAAATAAAGTGCATACAAAACTGCTGACAAATGGCTATAAAAGCTTTAATCAACAGGAACAGGCAGATGAGCTCTATGTTTTCAGCTCATTGTTTTCCTCAGGAAGCAACAGAGAGGAAACTGTAGTAACGTCCCTTTGCCCATCTTTCATATTGAGTGGAAATACAAGGCTTTCCCAGCACTAACACTCATTTGCTGAATTGGTGTCTTTTCAATTGAATTAGAAAAACCATATGCAAGGCCTATACAGGACAAAATTGTTAAAGGCGAGGGAAAATAGAGGGAGACAGCATGACAGAGGATGAGAATGGTAAATGAAAGCAATCTCATCAGGAAGATGTATCCGTCATGCTCCTCTGTCAGAACGCTTTTAACTGATGACCCTCTGACAGATGGTTACAGCCAATATCTGTGTGTGCGTACTTGGGTTTCTGCTACGTGAAGATCATTGTGTGTGTGTGCACTCTGTAAGCAGCGTTGGTGTGTTTCTGCAAAAAGATCAAGTGAGCAAACAAACTGTTATACTGGAGGTTTGCTCTCATGAGAGGTTGAGAAAGGAATCATTACTTACTCGGACCACTCGGAGATGTAGCAAAACATCAGGCGGCGAGCGTGATAGGGCAGCCAGCAGACCACGAAGGCTATGACCACCGCTCCTGGACAAAAGGGAGAGAGAGCAGCAAGTGTCAAGGGGAAGACTAAAGTAGAATGATAAGGACCAATGTACTATTTACACAAAATAAGCTTTATGAAGCTTGAGAATAGGGGCCATATTATTACATTATAATGTGAATGTTTTATAAACACGCATAACAAAATGCCAGCAATAAGCTTCTATTTATGCCAAGCAAAGCTTTGCTGCCCAGACAACTTACAGCTAATGCTAACTAGCTCTCTTCCTAGCCAACGTTAACTAGCTTGCCTTGCTGACAGTAACTAGCTCTTCTCCTTGCTAACGTTAACTAGCTCTCCTTCCTTACGTTACCCAGCTCTCATTCTAGTTTATGTTAACTAACTCTCCTTCTTAACGTTACCAAGATCCCCTTCTAGCTAACATTAACTAGCTCTCCTTGCTAATGTCACCTAGCTCTCATTCAAGTTTATGTTAACTAGCTCTCCTTCCTAACTTCACCTAGCTCTCCTTGCTAACGTTACCTCGATCTCCTTTTAGCTAACATTAACTAGCTCTCCTTGCTAACGTCACCTAGCTCTCCTCTAGCTAACGTTAACTAGCTCTCCTGGCTAACGTTAACTGCCTCTCCTTGCTCACGTTAACTAGCTGTTTTCCTGTCGATACCCACACAATCCAGAATCAGAAAGTAGAATTGATGCAATCATACAAATATCTCGGGACAATTATTGACTCAAAATTGAGCTCTGATCCAAACTGTGAAGCTGTGTGCAAAAGGGGGCACCAGCGTTTGTACTGTCTTAGGAAACTGTCCTATTTTAACATTGACAAAACCATGATGATCATGTTTTATCGTGCTTTTATCGAGTCAATTCTGTCTTTTTCACTAATGTCATGGTTTGGTAACCTGACTTTAAAGAGCAGAAACTCTCTGAGTAAGATCATAAAGTGGTCCAGCAGACTGATTGGTGAGCCACAGCTAAACCTGGAGACCCTGTACCTCAGGCAGTTAAAGCGGTTATCCAGCTCCATATTAGATGATGACTGCCACCCTCTGCACTCAGAATTGAAGCTTCTTCCTTCGGGCTGGAGGTTACTTGTCCCAAGGAGTAGAACGAAGCGGTATAAAAACAGTTTTATCCCAGCAGCTATTGCACAAATTAACACATCATAGGAGCGTCACACAGATGCCTATTTTTTATTTATTCATTTAATTGTGAATTTTGAATGTCCATGTTTGTACTTAAAATGTTTTTAAAATATTTTGAGATTTGGTTGAGCAGGGTATACTTGTACTTTTACTAGTCCTTTTATTAGAGATGTGTCTGTTGTTTGTGTTTGTTTTTAGTGTCAGGATGGAACCCTTGTCTTTTTCTCTGCAAACAGAATCTACCTACGGGTACAAAAAAATAACCTGAACTGTGTTTTTTTCTACAATTAACAGTTTGCATTACCATTGCGAAATGTACAGTGAGTCCATTGGACTTGTAGATAGTGAGTTTACTGAATAAAGAATTAAAAAAAAGTTAATCTGGCTGGTTTGTTATCTAGAAGGCATCACTGCCAATTACCTGACTAAAATAATATTAATGCGAAGGAAACGGACACATATTCCAACTACTACGGCTTCAAAGGTAGTGAGAAATCACTTTGTGTCTTTTTTCTTCTCATCTGAACGATCTACACTTTGTTGCCAATGGTTTCCCTAAAATGAACTGGAGGATTAATGGTGGAGAATCTAGCGCATTTAACCTGTTAAGCCCCGAGCCTGTTTTCCAGGTCTCAGGCTCGAAAATGACATTCCCAGAACAAATGACCATAACTTCACTTCTAAAAGGGGTAAATTAATAATCTTTTTTCTCAAAGTAATGATAAACCTGTGAGTTGGATGTAGAATAGTCAGAATCAATATAGATTTATTTTATTTTAAAGTAAATTCAGATTGAACATAGTAAAAAAATGTAAATTATTGTGTCCGTCCAAAAAGAAAACATTACTTATAGTGAAAACCACCCTTGAATGATGGGATAGTAGACTAAAAGCTTTAGGAATCCAAACTATAACATATAATAAGTACCCTGTATCAAGATTGATGCAAAACAAGTTCAATTTGACCTTTTTAGAGAGATTTAGCAAAAAAAAAAAAACACTTCTGGGGTCATTTGGGTGGATTTGACCTATCTCTGGCCCCCCTTGGTCGATTTTGATGATTGACATCTCTTTTTAACCGTTAGAGCCAATGGAATCGAGGGGAAGTTCCACATACACACACACGTTACCAAATAAGGAGTGAGAGTGACAAGCAGCCAGAAAACAGGAAGCTGTCATACACTCTGAAAGCTATCATTAGCAGCTAATATGAAAACTCAGTTTTTGACATAAAAATGGAATTATGGATTATCAATAATTGTTTCAAAGTGACAGACACATTGGATTAACCTATTGATTAACCTTCAGCCGCGTTTTTTTTCGTTTTAATGCCATTGAACACAACCTTTGATCAGAACAACAGCAAAGGTAAGACTATTTCCCGTTTTTTGCTCCATAAAGCTACGTCGTGTGATGTCTCGGTTTGCTGCCCCTGCCGCGAGTTTTGATCACACAGTGATGATACTAATACTTCTAGAATCTGTGGAATCTCAGCTTGCTAGCTGATATCTTGTTTGTGCAGATCCGATAAGTAATAAAGTATTTCTACCGTGAGTTCTGTGCTAAGTGCGTTAGCATTTTTTCGCTCAGACGCTTCTTGTGAGAATTGTTTCGGTAAAAATGGTTAATATCGTTAGTTAGCGAGTTTCTTCCCGTTAAGTGGGTATGACACATTATTAGGTTATTAAATATTAAGCGGGGGCTGCCGGGCTTAACAGGTTAAAGCATTTTAATGATCAGAACTTTTACCCATTTATACACATTCATACATAGGCTGCCAAACAAGGAGCCATCTACCATCAACATTCACACACACTCACACACCATTGACCATTAGAAGCAATGTGGGGTTAAGTACAGTGGAGGAAATAAGTATTTGATCCCTTGCAGACTTTGTAAGTTTGCCCACTTACAAAGAAATGAACAATCTATAATTGTAATGGTAGGTTTATTTTAACAGTGAGAGTAAGAATATCAAAAAAGAAATCCAGAAATTGACATTATATAAAAGATAAAAATTGATTTGCATTTAACTGTGGGAAATAAGTATTTGATCCCCTTGCAACAAACAAGGATTCTGGCTCCCACAGACGGTTACATAAGTCCTCTTCCTTTAAAAAAGTACTCCTAATATCAACTTGTTGCCTGTATAAAAGACACCTGTCCACAGAATCAATCAATCAGATTCCAACCTCTCCACCAGGAGCCAGACTAAAGAGCTCTCTAAGGACCTCAGGGACAAGATTGTCGACCTGCACACGGCTGGGATTGGCTACAAGACCATCAGAAAGCAGCTTGGTGAGGAGGAGACCACTGTTGGTGCGACTATTCAGAAATGGAAGAAAGACAAAATGACAATCAATCGCCCTCGGTCTGGGGCCCCACACAAGATCTCACCCCGTGGGGTATTGATGATCATGAGAAAGATGAGGGATCAGCCAAGAACTACACAGGAGGAACTTGTTAATGATCTCAAGGCAGCTGGGACCACAGTCACCAAGAAAACTATTGGTAACACACTACACCATAATGGATCAAATCATGCAGCGCCACAATGTCCCCCTGCTCAAGAAGAACATGAAAGGCCCGTCTGAAGTTTGACAATGAACATCTGAATGATTCAGAGAAGGCTTGGGAGAAGGTGATGTGGTCAGATGAGACCAACATCGAGATATTTGGCATCAACTCGACACGCCGTGTTTGGAGGAAGAGAGATGCTGACTATAACTCCAAGAACACCATCCCCACCGTCAAGCATGGAGGTGGAAACATTATGCTTTGGGGGTGTTTCTCTGCTAAGGGGACAGGACGACTTCCCTGCATCGAGGAGAGGATGTACGGGGCTATGTCCCGTAAAATCTTGGCCGATAGCCTCCTTCCCTCAGCCAGGACACTGAAGATGGGTCATGGAGGGGTCTTCCAGCAGGACAATGACCCTGAACATACGGCCAAGGCAACACAGGAGTGGCTAAAGAAGAAGCACATTCAGGTGATGGAGGGGCCTAGCCAGTCTCTGGACCTTAATCCCAGAAGAATCAAGAATTGTGTTTATTTGTCAGAACATTTATCAAAATCTGGGGGATAAAGAAGAGATATCATGCTCAGTTTCAGGTTCATAATTGCATTTTGTGTCTTTACTGTGACATGTCTCCATGCTATAATGTTCAAAAAGCTCTTTATTTTTCTCATACTGCCTGTGCTGCAGCACCTCTTTTCACCCTCTGTCTGAAACCAGAGCCCAGGCTGCTCTGATTGGTTAGCTGGTCTGCTCTGTTGTGAGTAGTCAACTACTTAAAATTCTGTTGGAAATGTCCCGTCCCATAGCGTATCACGTACTTCTGCTGTCGTAATGTGTTGGAGCGCTAGCCAATAGAGGAGCATGTGTTACGTAAGGGATAATGTGCAGCGAGGCTGTCATTATGGGTAAAAGAACAGACGATCAGATCAAGTCGCTGTACATTATCCCGCTTATTACAAGGCCACATTCTCAACAAAGTAACGACATGACTCCCAATATTAAAGGTGGGGTAGGTAATTTTGGAGAAACCAGCTTGAGTGCGCTAGAATTTGAAAATACACAGCCGGAAGAAATCTGCTACTTCCTTATAGAGCCCCTCCTCCAACACACACGAACGCGCACATGACCAATGAGGGCACAAGATAAGTTTGTGCACAGATGGAAGGCTGACAGGCAGGGAGGCCATCCAGTTATTTTAGCCGGGCCAGCTAAAATGATTGGTCGTGCTTTTTACAGTACTACGGCTTCCACAGATGAAATTTCTTTATGGATTTTTTGTCAAAGCACTTCAGATATTCATTGCTATCAGGATGTTAAGAGCATTCCATGGAATATAACAAAAAGTGTATCTCGAGCCC